ACTTATGGTATAAAGTGTAACTTCTCAGTTTGACAGCCATTAATTTCACTAGATCTGATGCTTTTATCTTCGAGTAACATGATTTATCAATTCAGTTGGTAGCTGATTTGTCATAAGGCACATTTTATTCATGTGTCAGGACATTCATATTTTAGCATAGACTTCAACGAAAACAACTTATTCATAGCAATTCTTACTATTGCTTTTAAATCATTTCATTCTATGGATTTATTCTAAGATTATTTTATACAGTATTTACAAGTGGAAAATCGAAGTTAATGCACATACTCTTTGATAAAACAACCGGTCAAATGTGATATCACATATATGAACTAGTATTCAATAAAATAAAATGTCTGCGTTACGTTCAAAAACTAGATTGTAGTAAAAATGTATAAGTTTTAGCAAAAAAACTACCTTAATATCTATAAATAATATAAATAAACTATGTGAATTTTCTAGGTAAACAAACTAGACGTATAAGTGTTAAAGAAAATTTCTTTTATTACTAATAAAGACATTATAAGAGAGAGATATGTACAGATTGATTCTGTTTGTAGAAATTCAGTTGAACTGTTTGTATAAATATGATATCCGATAAAAAATTTTTATGATATCGTAGAGTGATTTTCTTTTAACGGAAAGATTTCCCGTGGTTTTGATTGGTTGATTTTTGTCAAATTATCCTCCTTTAACTCTTAGGCTGTGAATTTTATAAATTATTCTTTTAGCGTTATTACAATATGAAATTCTATTTAGGACTCTTTTATTTACTGAAATTAATAATAAAGAAGAATGGTTTAATGATAAATTACACGATAAATCTATTTAGTTCCATTCATTCTTTATAAAATGAGAAAAAATTGTATTAGGGAAATTTGCTAATCGTGAATTGAGAGGTTGGAGGAGATTTTCGAAGAATTTCAAAAGAGCCTATTTATTAGATTGAAAGATATAAAAAGACAGATCATATATGTTACAAATGAGAATAATAAAACGTTCAACATAGATGCTTATGTATATATATTTTCTCAAAGTAGACCTCATGACAAAATTTATTTTATACTAATATGCTGAACCCACAGGGCTTATCCTATCCCTTCGAACAAATTAATTTGTCCACTCTCCTCGAGTTATTCATACGTCTTTCGACCATGTCAGTTACTCGCTCATGTCCTTGGTTGTTTTTATTTCAATGTGTGTGTACTGATACTTCGCTCATCATATGTCTAGAGTATTATTGCCTTACCACAAATAGTTACTTATGCCTCATCGCTTCGAGTTAGCTCACTTGCCTACTCCGATTTAATTCGCTTCAATTCGCTTTGACGCTTCACATACTCATACCTGTTCACGTGATTGATGGCGTGGAATAAATACATCCACAACACCCTATTTGGCTTCTTATCACCAACGTAGCATAAATGGGGTTTGCCTAAGTATGATATATGGAATTTGAAGGAAAGATTTATTTCATAACATACTCGACTGTTCGCCGAAATTAGAGTTAGAGAGTGAGCAGCTAAAGTAGTGATCCCCAACTATGCACGCAGCACCAATAAAGGCAATATTGTTTAGAAAACAGTGATATTCAAATGATTATTCAATCTAATGAAAGGAGTTATGCATCAGAGAAAATAAACGAGTGATCATCTTAAAAATCTATTAGTTTAATTCCTATTCATTGGATTATTTTATTTAAGTAGTAAATATCATTTGTTTTTAATCCTTATCATTGTGAATAATATTTAACATTTTTATGAATATAACTTAACTATATCTAATATAACACGATATTACTACTTCATATAAGTTGGATAATTTGTATTGTTATCCGATCTTGTTCCGATAGGCCAATTTCAAAATGTTCACTGTCTCTATTATTAACAAATTATTATTTTAAGTTATATTTAAACGTTCGATATGATTTGACATTATTGTCTTACTTGAAAACAATGTAAATTATTGAATGACATCTAACAGTGAACTACTGAAACTAAAGAAATAAATTACAAACCGAATTTCTAATCAACGAAGCATGATATCACATTTGCGTACTTCAGCTGCCCACTATTCCTTGATATTTCAAGTCTATTCAAATGATATCTGTTAAGGATTAGAAATTATAATCATATTCAACGAAATTTCTATAAACTGTTTATTTATTCTCTTATTAAAAATTAGATGACATTTTATATTTATTTTAGGAAAAATAAAATAATTTTTATCCGCTTTACGAATCTAAACAAAGTAACAGTAATATTATTTCTTTAAGAATAAAATATATTCGTCTTTCTTTAGCTACAAACTATTCACTACACTTATATTTGGATTAATAACGTACTTTGAAATTCGAAGTGATTAATCGGTTAACAGTAACGAATAAATTATTTGAAACATAATGAAAGTTAAGGACTAAAGTCTTACTAAGATTTGTGTAAATATTTTGCTGATAGATTCATACTACTTAATATAATTTCAATACATTATATGACAGTAATCTAGTATTTTAATTTTAATAATTTTGTTGAAGAGTAAAATAGTACTAGGTTGTAAAGGTTAGTTCAATTCTTCTGTCAAGACAGTTGGAAATGAACACTTATTATTTTTTTTTGGTACAAAGGTCCAAAACATCTAAATATATCAATTTGGTGTAGAGCTAGAGAGAAAGCAACAAAATACAATGTGATCATCGTTTGGCGTTCTCGCATTGATTAGAAACATATTTGTAAATGAAGGATAAAAAGTGTAGATGGATGGTTAATCATCAGTCAATGCAACCAAAACAACTGTTGTTTTCAATAAAAAAAAAATAAGAAAATAGGATTTATTAATTTATGTTAACTATTTATACTCGAATTTATTCGATTAAGATATTGTAAAAAAGAATTATAACACCGGCTTTATGGTACAAAATGAATCAGACAATATTTACATGTAAATAACTATGGAAATAAATTGAATAACATGAAATAGTTGAACAAGTCAATATTTAAACAGAAACAACATGAGAATGTTGGTTAGGATCATATATGTTGCAATATTGATGGAAGTTGGTTATAGATAATATAGAAATTATTTCCTAAATAACTGGATAGATTGATTGTCTGCAACGTTGATTTTATTGGTTTTGATGAAGAATTCTAATTCTCAAGATAATAATTATCTCTTTTTTCTCCGATAAAGTAGTCATTATTATCTATTTATTGAAACAAGTAAAAATATATTTGTGACTGACTAATGGATGTTGAGAAAACAACGAATACATCTAACAGGTAGTTCAGCAATCGTTATGACTACACTAATCATTCGAGTTTTAGATACAAATTGATTACTATTTTAAACCATAGGATAAATCACTTTCTAGTTGCCCAACTAAACATATCTATGATAAACTTAATCACTACAGTTGAGTCAGCAGTATACAATAAATAGTATGTCTTTAGCTCCTACTCAGTTACTAGGTACTACAAAATACATTGACCCTTAGGATTGTAACATCGCTCTCATTCACTTGTAAAAAGCTAACTCTATCAAAACCATACAAAAGATCTAGTGATGCGTCTAATCAGGCAAAAAAGTCAGGTGCTGTACTCTCGATTGATTTCTTCTTAACTTTTTGATATTAAACGAAGTCTTTTGTGATAATGATTTATTTACAGCTATCGGTACATTGAATGTCGGATTGATAAAATAAAGTCAGTGTTTACAGTTTGACAATATAACTTTGAATATTGAAAACAACAAGTGATAGTAAAGACAAACAAACATATATTGAACAACGGTTCACTACTTTTGAAATAAAAATATAAAAATAAATAATCTAAGTTTTAAGTAAATTTTCTATTAACAGATAAATATTGTATATATTTTTTATCGGACATGAAACATCATAAATTTATGAATTATTCAAAAGAGCTATGCTTTGCATAAAATAACTAATTTATTGTTTGTATACTGAAACTATGTTTAATTTAATGTATGAAATTCTTTTGATTTTAATTATCAGTTATTTTAATAAATTTTATTAAAAGAAGATGGCGGTATAATTTAAATGAACTTCAAACAATGTATTTGTTTGAAAACGTAAAGTAACCATTTTGTTTTATTGCAGCCAGTGTCGTTGTTTGTTTATTACTTCCAACAGATTGTTATTTATCGGAAATGAGATAAGAAAAAGTATTCAAGTTAATATGCATTAGAGTAAACGATAACCATTGAAAGAAAGTGTTGAGTGATCATTGTTCATCTGCAAACATCATTTCACCTGAACTAATTTAACTCAAAGACAGTCACTGTCAAAACTTCTAAGTTTTTGAATAATTTGTTTTCGCTTTCTCAAGACCTATCTCATTTGTTTAGGCATTGAACTGATTGATTCTGAAGGATAATACACCTGTGTGAGTTGAGAGTCGGTGAATTCAACAATTAATATCGATTTATTTAATAAACAACTTATATTTCTTACTGAAAAACTGATAAATGTTGACAAATTCCTTTAAAAAATGATTATTTTTTAGTGATTAATAGGGTTAAATATTTATATACTGAAAGATGTATTGTCCGAGCTTAAAAATTTTTATCCTAACAATTTTAAATATAAACAATACCTAATAGTTATCAAAAATGATTTTTACTTTTAAATTTATGAATTTTTACGTGTATTAGGGGCTTAATTGATTAACAACTATTCACGTATTTATTTTAAAATGTTACTCAAAGGTTGAAAACTGTAATATTACTTTGAAGCTCAAATAATCAACTGAAATATCACTGAAAATGATAAAATGATATTTTTCACCAGTGTAGGAAACTAGAGAAGAAAGCAGGTTGATCAAAGCTTTATTTCATTCCAAATGTCTCATTATCACGGATCGATATTTAGGTATCCAAACAAATATTTAATTGCGAATAACAGTCATAAAATGACATGTAAACTATTTAACTACTAATTAGTAGTTCAAAAATAAATCTCAAATAAATATCTTAACTCATTTTAGGTAGCGGAAATGTTGAAATGAATTCAGGCCGTATTCTAACAGGAAATTTTCAGCTATCCTATTTTAATCCAATTAAATCAACTAATTCGAAACCGTATAGTATGAATATATTGCTAGCAAAACCAATCTATGTGGCAATGGGAATATCATTAGCTATTCTTTTGTTTGGGCTTATCTTCTTATCATCTGCCCTGTTGATCTATCGAAAGAATAAACTTTTACACATATCTAACTGTCGAACAGTTTGCAATTATTCATGCCACAATGAAAATAGCATTGCTTCACCTAGAAGTGAGAGGGCTACTAGTAAAAATGTTACAGGAATATCAGAAAATGCAGAAAAACTACAAAAGTGGAATCAACCAGTCACTGCATTTCCAAGTAAGCATTCAACTGATGAACCACTTTTATTCAATGGTATCAGTTCAATTGAGAGTATGAATCCTTCTACAGATTATCGGTCATTAACAATGAATAAAGAAGAGAATAACTGGTTGAAACCGACAGGTGATATAAAATCTCCAGAGTGAGTTTAATTTAATAAATTCATACTAACTTTTTCATATATATATTCATAAGACCTACTTAAGTGTCTAGATATCTTAATACGAATAATTTCACTATGGAATTTATGATCGACTTATCGTATGTGTACTCGAAGTAGTCAACTAACAGTTCTGAGATTCCTGTAAAGATCTTTTTATTGCCAAAATAAATTTAAATACATACAAGTATAAATCAATAAATTGTCAGAAATCCTCCCGAAGACATGCAACAGAGCTTTACTTTTAAAAAAAGCTGACAGAAGCACGAGGATTCCTGCTTTTTTATCAATCGTTTTAACTGTGATTAGTAATTTCAATTCATGCTGCATGGTTCAATCAGATAATTTATATCCGAATACAAAAATGTATAAACCATTGGTTAATACAAAGAAAGATTAATTTAGTTCCGAACACATTCATATTTTTGTAAACGGAAGTGACTAGCTCAGTATTTCGAATAAAAAATGTGAGTATACAATTTTTGGAACTCTTAAAATCCATGATCGCTGATAGATTTAAACATACGTCCATTAAGAATGAATTTAATGAAATCATCTATGAGTTTAGATGAAGTTTACCGGTAGAATGATATAAACTTAACCCAAGTAAAATTGTCCGAACTGTAAGAAATTATCAGCTATTCATGAAAAAAGCATCGTCAAAAGCTAATATCATCAAGAGTGTCAAGAACATCTATTATCTATTAGTGCTGAAACAATCCAGTGTTCAAAAATTCACCAGACAGTAATACTGAGTGGAGAAAGTTGACCTTAACAAGATTCGCATACTATACAACTAGAATACATATATTTAATAAGTCTTTCTTTAAATAAATTGAATCTTTTCAATTTATTATATTAAATTTTAGGAAGGAAGAAAATGTCTGTAAAGAAAACGGGATAACATATTATTGTAATCATTGTTTATGTTGTTATTCTAATAACATCAATAATGATACCAATGATAGTCAACGTTCAACAACAAACAAATCATTCATTAACTTATCTCAATTTAATAAAAGAACTATGAATATTGATAATATTGAAAATGCCAACACTAATAATACTATTGGTGATCGATTACACCCGGTAATATGTGAAACAAGCGAGTTCAGTTTAAATACAGATAATCAAAAACGTGAACCAAGCAGTGTATCTACACCATTGTTCAGTATACATTCATCATCCACTCATCAATTACCAGATTTCATTGAATATAGAAAGTTAAATAATAGTAATCATAGTCATAATAATAATAATCATAACAAATCATTACTGATCAATGATCAAGATACATTTACATGGATAAAAAATCAACAATCTCATATTCAGAATCCAATTCAATTGCAACAATTCAATTATTGTAATCAACAATTACAAAAAAGTTCAAATTCAAGGCCAAAGAATACACAGCGCCAAATTCATTCAATGTTCAATGATTTCAGTGGAAATGGTTCTGATTCTAGTTTTTTATATGATATTGATAATAAAAATAATAATACAGATTATGAAAATACTAAGACAATACTGAGGCAGAAATTGATTGAAACTGAATTAGACTGGACAGTAGGAGAAAAAAAGAATAACACGATTCAACTTAATGGTAATATTGATTCACTCTCTCCTTTACTGCATAACGATACACGAAGAAATATCGATTATAGCAGTAGTAGTAGTAGTAGTAATAGTAGTAGTCGACAAGAAAACGAATCGAACAACCAACAATCTGTGCTACCGGTTCAATTTACTGATTTATTTTTTCCACATCTTCCACCACCGCCATCTTATCCACCTCCTCCTCTGCATCAACAGCAAGAACCTCAAGAACAAATGATTGAGAATTTAAATTCAAATAATACTAATACTAACACTACAACTACTACTAATAATGATAATAGTAGTAATCATATTTTAAATAATAAAAATTCATTATTTGTTGACTTACACCGGCTTGACATGCTTCTACAACGTCAAAGAGGCACTGGAAAGACGAGTAGCGGTGGTGAAGATAATAAAACCATTGAAAGTGAACAGTCTGATCCAAATCAAACTTGGAAAGTGTCCAGTTCCAATGAAAATAATACTGTATTGAATATGGCTACATTAGGTCATAGAAATATTTCCTTGACTAATAATTATCATAATAAAAATAATCGATTTTTAGAATATTCACCTGATTTGAACAAATTAACTGAACGTAGAATAATGGAAACTGGTTTAATTGGTTTAGCAACTTTTCGTAAAGCAGAAGAACAAAGTGTAGATTTAGTGACTCCATATGCACAATTTGATTTATCACCAGATTCAAGTATGTGTATAACAGCTGAATAATGAGTAAATTATTATTCTAATAAGAAAAATCGAAATATCTACAATATATATTTGTTTTAATGTATTAAATCCATACACGTTCAATATGTAAATAAATTCACTTTCTGTATTTATAATTTGCTTCAAAATATATCATTTAAAATTTGTATATTTTCATTTTATTTTATACAAAATGAATCATATGAATTTTAAAGTTTATCACTGTTCTACTTGTTCATAAAAAGTAATGTTGAAAAATTTCAATCAAATGAGTTGAATTTCTGTTAGGCGCGATAATTTTTAATGAGCATTCATATAATGTCAACTGATTCATATCTAAATGTTCAATGTGTTCTTTGTCTCAAAGTTTTACTGAGCACTTTAATCATACCATGCATTCCAATAGTATATTCTAATCGACACTCTGCTGCATACTACTAAGAAGCTACCTTTCAATTAGTATCCCCCAAACTAGTTTTTAATGTTTAGTTTTATGCTGATAATGCCAAACGAGTGTTCCCTGGAAAAGTCTCTCCGTCGTTTGACAGCTCCGATGACGAACGCGGTAATTGCGGTGTTGCAATAATCAGTAAACAGTCTACATCATTTGTTCTATTTTTACTCTGAAATATTAAAACCAAAACGATCATGGTACAGTACTTCTTGTAGAGATATATTTTTGTCAGTAAATTACTGTCTGGCAGTAAAAGACTTCATGTTTATATAAGAAGGATGCTTTGAGTTTTTATGTTTGAGTCCCAATTTCGTAGCCTAATTATACAATTATTCACATAATTTCGTATCTAGTACTTTTACTAACTTCTAATTGGAACAATGGTATAAAAATAGATCATTAAGAAAATTGCGTTGCATTCATTTTAATAGACACATCACAAGTGAATGTTAACTAAATACAGACCGCCGAGGCAGTGGTAATTTACTCAGTCTAATCAAGAATGAATAATAATCTTACGCATCAAGATAGACGATAAATAAAAAAGAAAATATACAGACACACTCAGACGAACTATTCCTTTAAGGAAAACATACAACAGATAAAAAAAATGAATAATTATGCATACAAATTATGTACAATATGTGTTGGCAAAGGATACGCTAAAATGTAATCGAATAAAAATTCCTAACTAATTCTGCATAATCATGTAAACCAATTTAGATTCCAATGATTTATCTGTTACATGGTTTGTTTGGTTATTTAATAACATTTCAAATAAGCGTAAATTTACAGAGTAGTTATCAAGAATAACTACTCAGTACAGATAAATATTGGAATGAACCGATTCAACGTCTATACTGATCATTAGCAGATTGATATTGCATCAGGTGTGTGTACTGTGGTAATTATTCTCCGCGAGAGTTAAGAAATTTAGAATTTATCTTTCAGTTTAGTAGTTCTTACATGTTCCAAGTCAAAGGTTGTCGACCCATTATCTTGGATAGGTGTATAAGTACTCCATAGTCAATCCATAGTTACAAATGGATAACAAAGAAGTTAAGAGGTAGTCTATAAGTCAATACACCTAAATGATCTTCAGAAATTTGCTTTATATCAACAAAGTAAAATACAAATTCCAATGTTTGCATAAATCAGTCGAGATCATATTTTATTTAGTTTTTAACTTGTTCAATGTTTCGAGACATTATGAAGTTATTTGTTCAATAAACACATACACCAGCCGAAACAAACTAAATCTTCTGTAAAATATTATTGGATAGATTATAAAAACCTTTAAACGGAACTAATGATATCCAAATATTTGTGTCGGTTGAAAAATTATTATATCTCTCGAGAACACAGAGTTAGTTTTAGTTCACTTTTAAACTTACTAATCTTAATTAACTGGCCGACATCAAACTAATTATTACTGGATTATCAAATAATGGTACACTTTTGTTATATTAGACAATAAACTAACTAAAATACATTGTAACAAATTAGACAATATTGTTAGAAAACATGTAAGCAGACCGCAGACTATCTTTGATTAACTGTTCTTGTATTTTCACCTTTATGTTGGTTTATATATACTTACATGAAGAACGTTTACTCGAAAAGTAATCACTAACTCTGAATATCCAGTATTCATCGAAGCTGAAAAACTAGAAAAAATTGTATAAATCCAAACGAATTCTTAATTTAGCATTGATATCAGTTAAATAGCCGCTAGAAAGTTCTTTTCCTGTATTCTGGTTATATTTTTAAAAAAACATAACTCACCGATGAAGAACGAGTGACTAATTTATTCAATTAAATTCTCTCGCTCCTCAACTTTATGCAAAATACTACTATAAAGAAAGATGTATTACTGGTCTCAGTCACTGCAGACTTCTGTCATATTACTAATAAAGACTTTTCTTTGCTCATTTTCAATAACTGACAACGCTAAACTGATAGATTCTTATAGAGTCACTAGTTATTTTTTTAAACCACTTCGGTACATCTTATGATATCCCAACTTGTACTTTACGACTACTTATCTCTGTGTTTATGTGGATACATACAGATAAGTTAGTAAACACTGATTTTAGGAATGAATCCTCATACCTAATGCTTATGTTTTCGATGAAGCACAGATCTTGCTTTTTTTTAGTATACTCAACTATGGTACCTAAGAAGTCTTAATAACGATCGCTTTATGCCTTCGTTTCAACATAATACCATTCGACTCACCATTGAATAGTAGGATGATGTTGATAGGTTTTCTTGGTTTCAATAGCGTAGCAGTTTTCACCAAAGATCCCATTTATTGATGTGTTTTAGAAGAAAATCATTGCACCTCAGTTTTTTTAGTAGACTCACCTTAACTTCGATACCATCATTTGTTCAGACACAGCTGATATTACTATATAGGTCCTTAGTTATCTGTTCTTCGCTCTTATAATTTGTTTTTTGAGCCATCTTTTATATTTTAAGAAAAATTGCCTTAAAAAGCAAATGTGTGATCTGGTTGCTTGAAATTTATTGTGCTAATATGTAGCCCTTATCAGTATACGGTTGGGCAGATTGTTAAGTTGCATGAAAAATTCTGGTTCAATTTCGTGGATCGATTGAAATTGAACACAAACACCGTTAGATTCCAGCTCCGCGGCTCAAAGCTTAAGAGTCCACGTGCGAAAGTGTAGGTTCTGTGTTCAATTCTCGCATGCAGGATAGAGAATACACACAGCTGAGGATTCCATATTAGGATGAAACACCCGATGTCTAACAATGATAGGTTCATGATTTCAGTGGTACATCACATAGTTTTGATGATTTTCGGTTTTTTTTTGTAGCATTCAATAGCGTGGACAAATAAACACTATGGAGGCCTATTTGACACTACGGCGTGCCTGAGAAGATAGTTATCATACGGAATTCTTATGATGGATTCAACTGCAAAATCGTACACGGAGGTCAGCTGACAGACTCTTTCGAGGTGAAGACCGGTGTCAGGCAAGGTTGCTTACTCTCACCCTTTCTCTTTCTCCTGGTCATCGACTGGATTATGAAGACGTCAACATCCGGAGGGAGGCACGGTATCAAATGGACAGTTTGGAAGCAGCTGGACGATCTGGACTTCGCAGATGATCTGGCTCTTCTATCGCATACGCAACAACAAATGCAAGAGAAGACGACCAGTGTAGCGGCAGCCTCTGCAGCAGTAGGTCTCAATATACATAAAGGGAAAAGTAAGATTCTACGATACAACACACAACAACACCGAAATCAGGATTTTCAATACAAATGTCAAGACATTTCTACTGTATAGAGCGGAAACCTGGTGAACTACCAAAGCCATCATCCAGAAGATACAAGTATTCCTTAACAGTTGTCTACGGAAAATATTTCGGATTCGTTGGCCAGACACGATCAGCAACAACTTACTATGGAAAAGAACAAACCAGATTCAAGTGGAGAAGGAAATCAGGAAGAAGCGGTGGAAGTGGATAGGAGACACTGCGAAAAGCACCGAACTGCGTCACAAGGCAAGCCCTCAAATAAAACCCTTAAGGATCAAGGAGAAGATGAAGGCCAAGGAACTCATTACGCCGAGAAATAGAGAAAGACATGAGAAGAATGAACAAAAACTTGAAAGAACTGTAAAGGGAATCCCAGGACGGAGTTGGTTGGAGAAAATTGGTGGGCGGCCTATGCTCTATTTGGGGTAACAGGCGTAAGTAAGTAAGTAAGTTAGTAGGTAAGTAAGTAAGTAAGTTAGTAGGTAAGTAAGTAATTAAGTAAGTAAGTAATACTTTGTTGCTATTAAAGATAAGGTTGAAACAATAAAAATTTTGAAAAATCTCTTTCTTGTTGTTTATTGAAAGAGTATTTCTGTTTTATTGCCTTTCAAGATGGTATTTTGAAAATTAAAACTAGACAAGTGATATTTTTTAGATATTATTCTATCTTGAAACAAATTAATGTTCACCAAAGTTGAAATCCATTGAATTTAAATAAACTTTCTGTAAATCTTATCTTGTATGGTATTTAAAATGTGTAACACAGCAAATTATATCTGAATATTTTCAAATGATGCTTTGAATAGAACAAAGTTTCAATCCAAATAATTACTGAGAATTTCTAAAAAAAAATGAAATTTTTTCGTCTAACCCTGATTTAAATTTTTATCTCTGAAATGAGTTTTTTTTATATGGTGAATTAATCAGTAATAATAAATTTAAAGTTTTAAAGCATAGTTTACTGTGATCTCTTCAGAATAATATGAATTCTTTTTATTTCGTTCATCAGCTTTATTTCATCAGCTACTTACAACTGACATAGTTATAGATACGATGTTCATTAGCAAAATGTATCATTATTTTGAGAAATTTCCAATAAAATGTATAGGGTTATAGAAATATGTTACAGATGCATAGAATGTGAGAGGAAAAGTTCCAGTATATTGAACTAGTGATTAAAAATCAAACTTTGGAAATAACCAAGATCAGAATAACAGGAAATAATACAAGTTGAAATCAGTGAATTGGAATCAAAATTATGAATTAATGAGAAATAAAAGTGATATAATCAAAGTATAGAAAAGATTTGAAATAAAGGATGATGTAGTAGAATGGATATAATGTTACCGG